AGCTATATCTATACTAATAAGACTGTTTAAAAGTCTTAGAGTGCTTAGCCCTATATTATAGATATTGTTTAGAAGATACTAAAATACAGGGGTAGCTGCAGGCTATCTTAATATCTATACTAGCTATTAGTCTAAGACTTTTAAATAGTTTTGTTAGTATAGATATAGCTCTATTCTAAAGTTTTTAGAAGATTCTATTAAGTAGTTATTAAGATGCAGGGGTATAGTTTCTGTGTTTTTTGGTGGGATTTTAAGTGACTAGTTTGGTGATATAACCAGCTCGGTGATAGAGTACTTTACTGTGTAGTATAATATATTATAGTTGTGTGCTGTAATGTTGCAAAGTAGGTGCAGTATTGGTGTGGTCTTGGCAAAAGTGGCCAGCTCGCTTGGGTGGCCAGCTCGCTTGTGGAGTACGTTAACTCCACCACTATGGAACCAATTCAAGAAGCGATTGAATATCTGGAATTGCGTGAAGCTAGAGATAATGTCTCATACTGCAAAGTTGCAAAGATATTTGGTGTTAATCAAACAACGTTGTCGCAGAGGCACAGAGGCGTGCAGCGTTCCTATCGCGCCCAGGCACAACAACAGCTTATACTCAACCCACAACAAGAGGAGGAGTTGGTGAGATACATAGAAGGATGCACAAGAAACAGCTTGCCACCTGCTAGAAGTATGCTGCAGAATTTTGGCAGCCCGGTTACGCAGTCAGAGGTCTCTGATAGCTGGATTACTCAGTTTCTACATCGCCATGCTGACAAGCCCACCACCAAATGGAGCACTGGGATTAATTGTGAGCGCCACTATTCTGACAGCAAGCATAAGTACGAGTTTTACTGTAGCTTAATTCACCCTAAGATGCGCGAGCGCAGCGTTGACAAGCGCAACATAACGTACCCCACGGACGAGTCGGTCACCGGGCGAGTCAGTCTGTTGCAGTATCAAGGGCAAATATAAACGAGTGTATTGTGTTGTTCTGTGTTCTTGTTCTGCTTGTATCTTTTTTCTCCAAGGCTCGCTGCGGGGTCTGTTTCAATGACGTGTTTGTGATGCAGCTGAGGTAAGAGGTGCTCAACAACATGAGGAAGCAGCACTAGACCACTGCTAACAACACGTGATCTACTTCTCCTCTTAACTATTACACACCCCCTTATCCTGTAACGTAGATTATCACCGAGCCGGCCATATCACCAAACTGGCTATTTTCTCTTAGCACAACTAACACAAGTTACTATAACTACAACTACTTGCTATTAAATAGTGACCTAGCATACTACATGCTTATATTAGATTTAGAAGATGTTTCTGCACCCTCCTAGCACGTTTGTGTGTTATGTCTAGTTTTGCTGCAGTTCCTACAGCGCTAAACAGTTAACTAAGCTCCTAGTTAACCACCTCCACCCTAAGTCTTCTTAGATGGCTGAGCTGCTACACACGCCTTAGCAGCTACCCGTGATGCTGCTGGGCCATACTCAAGTGTGCCACTATGCTGAATCTGCTTTCTCTTACGCGATTTTCTCTTAGTTATTACTGCTAATTACTCTTCAAGCTCTTGCACACAGGCCTTAATAAGGACGTTTTTATGCAGCAACTCTTTAGCCCCCTTTATAAGCTTTAAGAACCCCTCTTGCGCTATACTTAGTAATTGTTAGAAGGAGTTGCTTATAAGCTTAGATTTAGACCTAAACTTATATATATTGCTTAGTGTCTTAGATTGCTACAGTGTTTTAGGTAGAGGTACTGCTAGTAGGGTATGCAGCTACACTTTAAGGCAATCTAACACTACCTATATATTAGTAGGAATAAGCCCTAACGTACCTCACGGGTTCGTGCACCACACAGGTTCGTGCACCACTTTTGCCAAGCCCCCACCAAAACCACCCCATTCTGGCGCAAAACAGCCCACTTT